AAAAATATATTTTTGACATGGGATTAGATGAAATCACCATGCACACACACCATATCTAAATCGTTGCATTCTTTCTCTTTTTTTCCTCTTGCTTTTTGTTGATCTTTTACGTTGTAAAGCTTTTTTTAAAAATAAGCATATCTTTTTAATCTTTTCACTTTCTATTATTCATCTATATTTTTTTGGAAACATATTTTTTTTAAGCTTAAACATGCCTTGAAGAAGTGTTTAATGCAAGATATTCTTCATGATACCTTTCTTATTTTTTAAACAGAAGTCCACTTTTATTTTCTTAAAATAATATGTTTTTGATGTGGGACTAGTTGAGACCACCACACACACACCCATTTCTTACTCATTGCATTGTTTCTTTTTGTTTTCTCTCATGCTTTTTGTTGTTTTTTTCACATTTTAAAGCTTTTTTAAATATAAGCCCATCTTTTTAATCTTTTCACTTTCTATTCTTTATCTATATTTTTTGTGGAAACATGATGTTTTATTTAGCTTATACATGTGTTGAAAAAGTGTTTAATGTATTAAATTTTTCATGATATCTTTTTCAATTTTCAAACAAAAGTCATCCTTTATTTTCTTTTAAAAAATATATTTTTGATGTGGGACTAGATGAAACCACCATGCAAAACCTCATTTCTAGCGCATTGCATTCTTTCTTTCTCTCTGTTTTTCATGCTTTTTTGTTGATTTATTTACCTTTTAATTCTTTTCAGATTTTAAAGGTTTTTTAAAGTATTAGCACATCTTTTTAATCATTTCACTTCCAATTGGTTATCTATAATTTTTTATTAAACCATGATTTTTTTATTTTGCTTAAAGATGTCTTGAAAAAGTTATGCATTATATTTTTTATGATATTTTTTCAATTTTTTTAAAGAAGTAATCTTCTATTATCCTTAAAAAATATATTTTTAACGTGGGATTAGATGAAACGACCGTGCATACACCATATTTAACTCGTTGCATTCTTTGTCTTTTTGTTCCTTGTGCTTTTTGTTGAATTTTTTACATTGTAAACCCTTTTTTTTTTCCTATTATTTATCTATATTTTTGTGGAAAGGTGATTCTTTGTTCAGCTTAAACATGTCTTGAAAAATTGTTTAATCCATTATATTGTTCATGATATCTTTCTCAGTTTTTAAGCTAAAGTCATCTTTTATTTTCTTGAGAAAATATATTTTTAACGTGGGACTAGATGAAACCACATGCACACAGCGCATGTCTAACTCATTGCAGTTTTTTTTTTTTTTTAATTCATGCTTTTTGTTGTTTATTTTTTCACATTTTAAAGCTTTTTTTTAATATAAGCACATCTTTTTAATTTTTTATTTCTATTATTTATCTATATTTATTTGTTGAAACATGATTTTTATTTAGTTTAAACATGTCTTGGAAATGCATTATATTTTTCATGATATCTTTTTCAATTTTTAAACAAAAGTCAACTCTCCTCATGGTTTTTTCTTGGTTGCTTACTTTAATTTTAATTTTTTTAATAGAATCACTTTTTTTTAATTTTTTAATATTTTTTAATCTTAAACATGTCCTGGAAAAGTGTTTTAATACATTAAAAAATATTTAACTCATTGCATTATTTCTTTTTTTCTTTTCCTTGTGCTTTTTATTGATTTGTTTTTTACATTGTAAAGCTTTTTTAAATATAAACATATCTTTTTTTTATTTTGCGCTTCCTATTATTTATCTATATTTTTATGAAACATGATTTTTTTTATTTAGCTTTAAAATGTCTTGAAGAAGTGTTTAATTCACTATATTTTTCATTATTGTTTTCTTTTATTCTAAAGTTTTTTTTATTAAACTATAAGCACATGTTTTTTTCTTTTATGTCTTTTCACCTCTTGTTATTTATCTATATTTTTGTCTAAACTTGACTTTTATTTTTATATTCAGCTTAAATATATGTTCAAAAAATGGTTATTGCTTTATATTTCTTTTGATACCTTTCTCAATTTTTAAATAATATTGATAGTGATTTATTTTTCCAAAAATATATTTTTGATGTTGGCTTTGATGAATCCACGCCGCACACCTCATAAGTAACTCATTTCATTTTTTTTTCCTTCATGATTTTTCATGATTACTTTCATTTTAAATTTTTTTAAATTTAAGCACCTTTTTTAGTCTTTTCACGTTCTGTTATTTATCTATATTTTTTTTGGTTTAAACTTGATTGTTTTATTTAGCTTAAATATGTTTTCAAGAAGTGTTTATTGTTTTATATTTTTCTTGATATCTTTTTTCAATTTTTAAGTTAAAGTCATCTTTTACTTTCTTTATAAAATATATTTTTGACGTGAGATTTGATGAAACAACCACGCATACGTACAATATGTGACTCTCTATAGCCTTTCTCTCTTTTTACTCTTGTTTGTTGATCTTTTCTTTCATTTTAAACTTTTATTTAATATAAAGCGTCTTTTGATCTTTTCACTTCCTTCTTGTCTATATTTTTTTTTGAAACTTGATTTTCTTCTTTAGCTTAAATATATCTTCAAAAATTACTTTTGTGTTTCATTTTTGTTGATATCCTTCTCAATTTTTAAATAAAATTCATTATTTATAAATTATTTTCTTTAAAAATATATATTTCTGATGTGGGACTTGAGTGAACAAGCATGCACAAGCAGCATATATAACTTATTGCATTATTTCTTTCTCTCATGTTTTTTTACATTTTGTAGCTTTTTTTAAAATAGAAGCCCATCTTTTTAATCTTTACACTTCCTATTACTTATTTCTATTTTTTGTCTATATTTCATTTTTTTATTTAGCTTAAATATGTCTTTCAAAAGTGCTCAATGCTTTACATTTATCTTGATATCTTTCTCAATTTTTAAATTAAGTTCGTATCTTGTTCCTCTAAAAAATATGCTTTTATATAGGACTTCTTAAAACGGCGATGCACATACACTCTATATAACTTATTGCCTTCTTTCTCTTTTTTTCCTTTTGATTTTTATTGATTTTTTTCTTACATTTGAAATCCTTTTTTAAATATAAACTCATCTTTTTAATCTATCTATATTTGTTGTGGAAACATGGTTTTATATTTAATGTGAACATGTCTTGAAAAAGTGTTTAATGCATTATAATTTTCATAATATCTTTCTCACTTGTTAAAAAGTCATTTTTTATTTCCCTTAAAAAAATATTTTTGATGTTGGACTTGATGAAACTACCATGGACACACACCATATCCAACTCATCCTCCTTTTTTTTTTTTTTCATTGTGCGTTTTTTTTTAACTTTGTAAAGCTTTTTTAAATATGAGCACATTTTAATATTTTCACTTCCTATTATTTATCTATTTTTTTTTGAAACATGATTTTTTTAAACTTAAACATGTTTTGAAGAAGTGTTCAATGCATCATATTTTACATGATAATTTTATCAATTTTTAAACAAAAGTTCTCTTTTATTTTCTTTAAAAAAAATGTTTGACGTGGCAGTAGATGACACCTACATGCACACACATCATATCTAATTCATTGCTATCTTTCTGTTTTTTTTTTTCCTCGTGTATGTTGTTGTATTTTTTTTTTGACATTGTAAAGCTTTTTTTTAAATATAAGCACATTGTGAAAGCATGATATATATTTTTTATCTTAAACACGTCTTGATAAAGTGTTTAATGCATTAAATTTTTTTTATCTAAGTTTTTAATCAATAGTCATATTTTATTTTCTTTGAAAAATATATTTTTGACGTGGGACTAAATATAACTGATTCTATGTTCTAAAAGTAATAATTCATGGTTATTAAATACATGGGTTACATTGCAAATAAAACAGCATAAGCATAATCCAGTAATAACTGACACATATTGAGGGGCATAAATTCTGAAAATGAATCGAACGAAACTATTTTTCAATGTCTTCAATTAATTGGCGAAATGACAGCGCATGCTAGAATTTGCTAATTATTTTGCTTTGGAATTTGCTACCGTTGTATATCTAAATCTATGTTTTCTGTGACCTGCTGGCTAGTTTTAGAATAATATGAGTATGAATTTTTATGTCTTTAGATTTGTGAGTTCAATGACGCTATAGATTTCAACGAAGCACAAATCATTTCTACTTTTTTATGGTGTTAGCTACAAGTAATGGATTGGTTTCTCTGCTTTTTTTTTTTTCCTAGATTGGATAGATTTTGGATTTGATAGTCTTGTCTTGAGCATGTCAATTTAATATCTAGAGGATTTATGACTTTGCCAAAACAAACTAGATGATTTGAGTGATTTTTAATATTTTTGTTTGAATTATTTTTTCACCACAAAAGTTTACTTAAACCTTTGGATCTTATGAACTATGTTCTGATTTGTCCTTTGGCATTTTTGACGGGGTGGTGAGCTTTATTCTTTTAGCAATATGGCTTAACTGTTCCATTTGCAAGATATGTAGCCATTGGAGATAATGAGGTAAAGATTTGTTTTCTTAAAGTGTTTGCTTTCCTTAAGTTTAATAACTTGATGTCTAGAGCTGTCTACTATTTCTTGTTAGCTTTTCTGAAATGTGATGTGATTTTGAGGAGTCATGATAGAAGGGTACATTCCTAATTTCCTATCATATGTTGCCAGGCTTAAATGCATTTCTGCATTTTTACCCTCCACTAATCCTTAGCTTATTCCAGTCCATTACCTTATTTCCTTTGAATTGAACCTTCCATAAAGAAGTCCCCATAACTTATTTGAATCCAACATTCCGATCTTGGTGGGGCTAAATTTTGTTGCTATCAGCTTTGATCCTTAATTTACTATTTTGATGGAAATTTTTATGCCGTCTAAAAATAAAAAAGAATCTCTTAAAGCATTGAAATAAAACAATTTTCAGATCTTTTGGATTGCCTGTTGCTAGAAATACGAACTTATGATAGTACAGTTTGGAAGCCATGTTTTAGTCTTGTTGCATTTTGGCTCGGTAATTTTAGGAAAAACGACTATTGACTCTGCATTTGAAATGTTTCAGGAAGAAGCAATCTATGATTGATGTGACTTCTGAGTTTTTTGCTGAGGTAACTAATAGTAACATTCTTCTTATTGTGTTTTGAGTAGTTGAATACATATCTCTTACATGCATTGGCAATAGTTAGGTGCACAACCTTTTTCATGTATATATTATTGATATAATATGATTTTTTTGGCGGGTTGGTTTGAACATTTGAGTGTATGCATCTGAATCATATATTTTAGGTTGGCTAGACAAACTTGATTCTAAAGGGACTCTATCTTTGTTGAGGTTTATTCATGGTTTTTAACCTTTTCAACTCTCATTTTATTTTTCTTTAGGATATTTATTTTTATTAAATATAAGTAGAAATTTTATTTTTAGTATTTGGGACATTTTTTTAGTATAAGTTCTATGTTATTGTTGAGTTTTGGAGTTCATCTCCAATTTAAAAAAAAAATGCCCCATTTTTTTAGAAGAGTCACCCAATATTGGACGTTTTTTATGAGTGTCCAATATTTTTTCACGAATATATGAAAGCCTCATATTGGATAAAAAGTTTGTAACTATACAATGTACCTTTTTTTGTAGTAGTGTCATGAGCATTGAATGTAGTTGTTTTTGACAGAAAATTAACCTAGATAGGACAACTAGAGGCCTTTCTTAGAGGTGCAATAAAGAGAGGGGGAGGATGTACAAATATTGAGAAGGAGGGATTCGTTTTGAGGTGTTCTTTCTCTAGTGACTCACCGCTATTTATTTCTAGTGTGGTAGGCTGCTATGAAAAGGGAAAATCTAATCATCACAATTCACCTCATAATGGAGAGAATTGATGTGATGGACTATTCCACAATAAATATAGGGCAAGGTTTTTTTTTTTTAAGATTCAATCAGGAATCAATCCACCACTAATTCTTGATGTATAGTCAATTCTTATTAAATCAGAATATGTCAAGTATCTATTCATTAATTTGACATCATTATCAGATTCCCATTAAGGTCGAATCTGTCGTGGTTGGTAGGCAAGCCGTCCTCGATTCAGATGTTTTGAGTACTAGAAACCCTATAACAAGATCAGCAGATGAAGGCATCCATTTGTATACCTCCTTTGCTGTTATGAATTGCCTTAAGCACTCTAGATTTACCCGCACACAACCCATGACATGTCTAATTCCCCTTGAGCTAATTATCTCTAGCTCATACTTCCATCTTATATGCTCAGCACCAATACTTACAAGTTTTTCTCATAACTTGTAAGGGACATGTCTCAAAAACTAACACAATTGTGTGTTTCAAGCTTAATCTTCCTTTAGATTGGATATCAATGAAGTCTAATTTAGTCTCTTTCCTAGTAATCGACCTGTTGGATTGAATCATTCATGATCATAAGGTACAAGCTAAAGTAGCTGTCATGAAACCAGCCTCTTATGACATGTTGTCAAAGTCCTAAGGGTACTGTGATAGGATTTTCTTTATTAGAGGACTCACATAGTGATGGAACATGGATCCTTCCATCCATTTCCATTATTGCAATCATACAAGTGCACACGGTATGAATTGCATGCTACGATGTTTCTTTCTCAAGATTATATGTTGATTTTTGTTTATTAACATCATTCAAGCTTCAATCTTAAATGCATATAGTATTTAAACCACAATTTCATGAACCATTCAATTCATGATGTCCTTACTTAGGTATAGGGTAAATATGCAAATTTGGCCATCAATTATTTTTCCAGGAGCATTAGATAGCCTATCTTATGAGGTGATGCAAAATAAATTCTTAACTTTAAAAAATGGAGCATCTAGTGCCCACCGTTAATTTTACTCAACGGACATTAGATAGGGCCCATAAAAGTTGATTAAAAATGACACACAAGGCACTCCACCTCAACATGGGTAAAGGTACAAATTTAGCCATGAACTATTTTTCAAAGAGCATTGGGTAGCCTCTACCATCAATTAGTACAAAGAAAATTATCAAACATGAAAAACAGACCATGCATAACTTCCTCATCAATTTTGTGACCAAATGTCATTTATTTTCAAACTTATGGGACACAACGCATCAAACTCTCAAGCTTAATTTAGCCATGATAGAAAATGAAGCGATTGAATCAAACTTCTCCCTTGCATAGTGGCAATGCAATTCAAACTGCTACTTTGCTTGAATTACTATAGAGATTTAAATAAAATTTTATCTTCCTTTTTTTCTTCTACATCATTAGCATCATTCTCAGGAATGCCTTTAGATAAGCACTTTTTGAGCCTTTTCTTCTAAAGCTGAGATTGAGAATGATAGTAAGAAGATTGGAGAGATTGACGTATTGTGGGTCCCATAAGTTTGAAAATAAATAGCATTATGGTTAACACTGATGAGAAGGTGTTGGGTGGTTCGTTTTTTAGAACAGAGACTACCCAGTGCTTCTCGGAAAATAGTTTATGGCTAGATTTGCACCTTTATTTATTAAGGTGGAGTGCCACATGTCATTTTCGTTAAAAATTTTTAGGCCCCACATGGGAAGTTAATGTTCGTTAAATCAAAATTAACAAAGGCTGTTAAATGCTCTATTTTTTAAAGTTGAGAATTTATTTTGCAGCACCTTATATAGTTCAGAGCCAAATTTGTTACTTTACCCGTTGGGTATATTATCATTGGTGGAAATCCATATGTAAATTAATGTTATTCCTTGAATGAGTTTTGTGAATGTAATTATGCAAGTTGAGCATGATGATGTGATACGGCTATGGTGAAGATGATTAAGATATGAAATGTGATAAAATGCCTTGAGCTTGATAATATGATTTGCGTGCTTTATGTGTAGAAGCATGTGTATCTTGCATAATTATATTTAGCAGGAGTTTGCTCTTTGTAGAGTAGACATAAATCCACGTGGCATGGTTACTTTTCATTAATCAAAGGCTTGCCTTCATCCTATTGTTTGTTGAAAGATTGTTCCATTTTTTGTCGAGGGACTTAAATCTAGCTTGTCTCTACTCATTCTTCAAGGAGACTAGTTTAAGGTTAACAACACTCCAAGCATTTGAGAATGGGGGAATTGTGGCTTGGGAGTAAGTGTAGCAACTTTTGGTCAAGTAACTCTTAACGATTGGTGAGCTTCAGATAGTCTATTTACAGGCACACGCCCTATTTGAATTCATAGCTAACGATTTCAGTTGGAGGTATTAGGTGATGATAAGGGAGGCTATTAATCATGCATTACATTGATATCTGTCACATAGTTGTTAAGTTTGTGCTTGGAATGTTTTGCACATCATCAATTTGTAAATATGTGATTGGTTCTAGCTATGTGCTTTGAACCTTTGCAACTAATGACACACACACACACATTTATTTGTCCGCATGCATTATCTATAACTAATTAGTTTGCATATGCATTTATTAGAGTATTTTGGTTATTGAGTGATTATATTCACACCTCTCCTTAACATTTTACAGGCACTGGCCTTGGGTAAAATAAAAGGAAAGGCACTATAGGCTTAAAAATATGGTTTCCTATTGTAGGCCTATTTTGTTTTTAGTACTTGCACCATTTGCATGATATAAAAATTGGTTGTGTTTTGGGCCCTAAGTTATATGTGATGTGATTGAGTTATTTATTCATGGCCAAAATACTGGTACCTAACAAAATCTACAATAGCAGCATAGTTATCAGTCCTGGTGGCTTTAGCTTTTATCCACTTAGAAACATAATCAACAATTGGTAAAATGTTAGCAAATTCAAATGAAATGAGAATAGGTCCTATGAAATTAATACCTCAAACATCAAATAACTAATAGAAAAGTAAACATTGTTGAGATCTCTCATTTCTGTGAGAGATTTCCTATATGCTGACATTCAACACAATACTTACAAAATGCATTTGCATGATGGAATAGATTAGGCCAATACAACCCCATGATAGTGATTGCATGGATGATTGTATATGTATAATGTTTGATTAGCTCTCCCTATTATTTTTGGAATCAAAAGGTTAAGGGTTGAAAATGTGATATATGTGCTATTAGCATGCTGTAATTCGTCCCCATTAATTTTAGCTTGGAAAGTTGGGATTGAGGTTGGATATGTGATATATGATGCTTTGCATGGTTATGGTAAGTCTATTGGGTGTGGTTTAATGATTGTGGTAGACTAATGGCATTTAATTTATGGGTTTGGACACCTTAAAAGAGTTGAAGAGTGAAAATGTGATTTTGATTTCGAGTGTCCAATTTTATGATATGATAATATTTGAAAATAAAATTAGTATCATTAGTTAGTTCACTAAATGAGCTTTCTGTGAATATTTAGAGCACCTCAATTGAATATCGGATGAAGATTTAGGGCGTGTTGTAAGTACAACCCCCAAAATATGGTGTCAGAGTTTCTACGCAGTGTGACGTGGTAAATGGTGCCTTAGTTACAATGCATGCGTACTTCACTATGGCAAAAGGCATCTACATTGTCAATCATGGTAGATGCATTGTTAGCCACAACATGTCAGTTTTCATAACATTGACTTTCTACCCCTTATTCTCAAATATTTTCAAATTGTGTTGGCATCGCCAGCTTCCAAATACTTACAAACTCTGATAAATCATTTTTGACCAATTGTTTAGCTTTTAAAAATGTGTTTCTATATTTTTGATCCCAACTTTGTAATGGTTATGTTTTAAAAGTATTACTAGTAAATTTTTCCTTTATAATATAACTAAAACAAATAGTTCGTCTCTTTTATATTATGGTAGGATTTATTATATTGGCTTAAAGTTATTCTACCATGGTAGAATAGTAGGTGATTATATTATGATTTTGATGTTATGATCTAAATTTTATTAACCATAATAAATATTCAAATTAAGCTTTTTTCTATTCTACTTTGATTAGTCCTGTTAACTACATTTAAGTCCCCTCTTCTATGTTGCTAAAAGAAAAAAAAAAGTCCCCTCTACTATGATAAGATGATAGGGATTGGTTATCATTTAATTATTGTGGTAGAGTACCGTGATTATGGTCAAGTATATGGGTTGAGTAGATGATATTAAATCTAATACTTGAATTATTAATTTTTTAGTTTTTCCTTTTGCAAACAAATATTTTTTTACTTTAAAATTAATTATTTTATATTATAAAAAATATCAAATATTTAACAAATGTAGAAGACTCAATGTTTTTAAAAAATTTGAGGATCTTGAAGTTTAGATATCAAGAATAAAATGCATTTTAAACATTATTTTGAAATATTTTATGGATTAAAAATAATAAAAATAACAATGCAAACATTTTAATTTTTTAAGAAATATTTATAATAATACTCTTTCCGTTTAAAAATGTAAGATATTTTTACTTAAATCTCACCCCTTAATAAAATAGTTATCTACTTTTAAATTAATTCTAGTTTTCTATATTTATTTTTATTAAATGCTCTATAATAAATATAAAATCATTCATCAATAGGAGTATTTTTTTTTAAATAAGTAATGATTATACCTCGGAAGATTAAAAATGCAAAATATTTTTTAATATCCAACTCCTTAAAAAATACTTTATATTTTTGAACAAAGAAAATATACTCAAATATATAATATCTCAGTATAAAAGTATAAAAGGATATAAAATTTAAAAATTAATTAATATTCAATATATTTTATAAAAATATTTTTTTTAGGTATTTGGGTCAAGCACAAACTCAATAGAGTATGGCCTAATTTTTCTAGTCCTATCAGGTTACCATCATTAAAAAATTATTTTGCTAATCTCAATCTTATATTTTCTTTAATTGATTTATTAGTTTCTTTATTTGATTTATTAGAGCTGACCTGTCAAACTTCACTCAAAATATAGACTCTAAATTTTCATATATGATATATTTGAAAAAAAAAATGTATAAAACCAATGAGATTCACCAAGCAAGACTTCTAGAAAACTTTTTAATTCTGTGATCTTTTTATTTTCCAACCAAGCTCTTGAACGAATTTGCTACACCTCTTCACGTATCAGCTGATTCTTCTTATTACCTCTTGATTTGGTTCTTTTTGTTCTTTTGTTTTGGGTTTGAATATGTGCTTTTTGTTATAAAGCTATATTGCACATATACTGAACATGTATTGGATATGATACATATTCAATACATCAACACTTTTATTTTTAAAAATATAGAGTGCGATATGTCCCTTATATATACAAATATATTTATAAAAAAATCATAAAAATATTAAAACTATAGTTTAAATTTAAAAAATATCCAACCTAGCGTACATATATAGTTTTTTATAGTAATACCAAACAAAACATAACCATTAATTATACTTTTATTCTATCTCTACCTACTTGCCTACCACCTAATCTTTGTTAATAATTCCCTACTTAGGGTTTATATGTCAAAAGATTATATTCCTATGTTTTTATAATTAAAAATATAATTTTTATTCTTTTATTATATATAAAGCATGCTTTTTTTAAGGAAAATTCAATTTTTGAATTTAAAAGCAAATCACATAAATATATTAGGAAAAAGAAAAATTAATATCTCAATATTTAATAACATTGTTCTTTTTAAAATAGCCTCGAACCATTGGTTTTAAAGTATTAACTCAATTTAAATTATCGGATACTATCAAAAATTAAAATTCTTTTGAATTAAAAAATCATATTTCAAGTATTGGTGAGTATTGTAATGGACACGATACCGATACAATATGTGAGGCAATAGTCTATGATATACAGATATTGATATGTGTATAGGATATGATAGGTACTTGATGTTTGATGCTTTTATTTTTAAGAATATAGGATACATTTTCGATATGTACATATATTTTTATAAAAAACACTAAAGTTTTAATTTTAATTTAAAAAATATTCAAAATAGCAAACATATATAGTCCTGTAAAATAATATCAAGTAAAACATAATCATTACTTGTACTTTTATTCTATCAATATCTAATTGCCTATGGCCTAGTCTTTGTTACTAGTTTCTCAGCTAGGATTTAAATGCTAAAAAATTATATTCCTACACTTTTATATTCAAAAAAATAATTTTTATTTTTTATTATATCTAAAACTTATTTTTTTTAAAAAACCTAATCTTTGATTTTAAAAGAAAAACACAAAAATATATTAGGAATTTAACAAAATTTAATTTTTTTTAATAATAGCCTTGAAGTATTGACTTAAAGTACCAACTCACAATATCTAAAATAAAAGAAATCAAAATTAAAAAAAATAATATTTTGATACTCTATAGATACATATCGAAGAAGTACTGATGAGTATTGATATGAATACGTGAGATAATTTGAAGTATCGGTTCTTTATAGATATTCTCCCTTGGATGTCCATAACAAACATTGTGTTTCATTAAAACCTTACTAGAAAAAACTCAATGAGAAAAAAACCTAGTGAAATAAAAAGGGTACACAATATTTTTAAACACTTTTCTAAAAAAACCCAATGAGAGAAATCCTTGTAAAGGAAAAAAGAGTATAACATGATATTTATTCCCCATAGCCTTCCCCTTGTAATAATATCACTTTACTCCCCCTGATAACACAATCACTTTTTATCTTTGAATCTACACATTTCAATATCATAGACTAACTTCTCAAATATTGAAATTGGTAGTATCTTAGTAAACAAATCTACAAGATTGTCACATGAGCAAATTTACTAAACATCTATATCATTACTCTTTAAAAGGTCACGAGTGAAAAGGATTTTGGAGAAATATGTTTTGCTTTATCTTTTTTGATGTATCATCCTTTTAATTGAGCTATACATATTGTATTATCTTCATATAATATTGTTCGAATCTTTTTTCCCAACAATAAATCACACATATTTTGGATATGATGGATCACTGACTTTAACTAAATACATTCTTTACTTGTCTTGTAAATTGTAATTATTTCTACATAATTTGATGAGGTAGTAGCTAAAGTTTGTTTTATTGAATGCTAAGATATTGTTATACCCCTACAAGTAAACAAATATGAAATTTGTGATTTTCCTTTATGTGGATCTGATTGAAATCTTACATCTGCATAACTAATAAGTTGTTATTCAAATTCATAGAATAAAATAATTACATATTGATTATCCTTTGGAAATATTGAAATAAATGTTTAACTCTATTCCAATGTTTTTTTGTTAGAGAAGAACTAAATCTTACTAATAAATTTAAAACAAATGCAATATCAAGTCTTGTTGAATTAGTAAGATACATTAGTACACCTATAACACTAAAATATGGTACTTTAAGACTAAAAAGTTCTCCATCTTTCTATTGAGGACAAAATGATCTTTTTTCTTATCAAGAGATCTTACAACTATCGAAGTAGTTAATGGATGCACTTTGTCGATATAAAATTACTTCAATATTTTTTCAATATAAGTTGGGTGATAAAGAAAAATTTCATTTGTTAAATGCTCGATTTGTAAATTGAGATAAAATTTTATTCTTTCAAGATTTTTTTATTTCAAATTCTTTCTTTAAGCAATTAATTGCCTTTTAGAGCTCTTTAAGAGTTCCAATTACATTCAAATAATCCACATAGGTAGCAATTATGACAAACTTAGATATATTTCTCTTTATAAAAACACATGAAGATATTAGATAGTTTTTATAACTTTCCTTCAGCGAATATTCACTAAGACAGTTATGACACATTCTTTCATATTGTTTCAATCCATACAAAGATTTATGCAAACTAATTACATATTCTTCTTGAGAATCTTTACATGCTTCTAACAATTTAAATCCTTTGAGGATATTTATATAAATTTCTATGTGTAAAGAGCCACATAAATAGGCTATAACAACATCCATTAAGAGTATATCAAGTTTTCTGTGTACTGCCAGACTAATTAGATATTTTAAAATAATTGTATCAACTATCAACCATAGGAAAATATGTCTCTTCATAATTAATACTAAGTTTTTGAGAAAATTCTCATCCTACTAATCATGCTTTATATCTAACGATTTCATTTTCTCATTTTGTTTTTGCATAAATACACATTTATATCCCATTGGCTCTACACTATTAGGTATTCAGACCATTGACCCAAAAACTTCACATTTTGAAAGCGAATTTAACCTTGCTTTGAATTGCATCTTTTCATTTTGGCCAATCATTTACGTGTATACATTGTTCAACCAATTTTAGTTCTAGATTTTCATTTTGATTCATTATTTCTACAGCAACATTATATGAAAATATGTCATCGATAACTATATTTTTTTGATTCCATCTTTTTCCATAGTGACATAACTTATTGAAATCTCTTCATTATCTTCAGGTACTTGGACCACTTTTAGGTTCTTCTAGTTAGTTATGTCTTTGTACTCTGTTAGAGTACCAACCTCCTCAACTATGTCATCTATGCTATCTTTATTTTGTGCTCCTTTCTTCTTTCTAGGATTTTTATCTTTGGAATCAATTGATCTACCACGCTTCTTTCTAATTGTCCTACTGGGATATCAATTATAATAGGAATATTTTTAGTTAGAATATGAGACTTGGTAATTCTTTTAAAGTTAGTAAATGCATATGGCAATTGATTTGCAATATTTTGTAAATAATTTTTTTTTAACTTCAAGTTCACATTGTTTTGTATGAAAATCTAGACGAGATAATATTAACATTCCATGTAATTTCTTTATCCTGCTTCTTATTTTCTCTCCCTAATGTTGGAAAATTGTTTCATCAAAATGAAAATCATTAAAACATGCTGTGAATAAATCTTTAGTTAATGATTATACATACTTGATTATAGAGGGAGATTCAAAACTAATATATATTCCCAACCTTCATTGAGATCTAATTTTTGTGAGTTGTGGTGCAACAATAGGAACAAACACTGTACATTCAAAAATTCTAAGATGATAAATATTTGGCTCCTGACCAAAAGCTAATTGTAATAAAGAAAATTTATTGTAAGTTGTTGCATGTAAAATCACATGTCCCCATGCTGGAATAGGTAGTTTTGTCCTCAAGAGCATTGGTTTAACTATCAACTGGAGGTGTTTAATGAGTGATTCTACTAGACTATTTTGAGTGTGGACATAAGCAACATATTTTTCAATTGTTATTTCAGTTGATATGTAATAATTATAAAAAATTTGCAACAAAAAATTCACTTATATTATTAAGACTAATTGTCTTAATTGTATAATTTGAAAACTGTGCTCTAATCCTTACTTGAAATTCTTCTAAAAATCTATATATGATAAAGCCAATGACTTGTGGTGGGTAGCAATTGTAAGCTCATTGTAATTCTTTAAGGGAGAATTTCAAATAGGATCAGGGATGTGACATTATTACTAGTGGATCTCAAAATTTTAAAATTTCAGTTCAATTCAGGAGAATAAAAATGAAAATAATTTCACACATAAAAATATCAAAGTACCCTTAACTTGTTATGCAAATTACTAGCTGTTAATTTTCTTATTTCACTTATTAATTTATTAATAGTACTTGTAAATTATTTATATTTCTTAGACAAGTAAGAACATTAGTTGTTAATTGTTAATTTATTAATATCAATTATAAATTACGAGACCTGTCAGTAATTTATAATTGATATTAGTAAATTATAAGACTTATTAATAATTTATAACTGATGTTAGTAAATCAATAAGTAAAGTTAACAATGTAACAACTAATGTTATTGCTTATAACTAAACAATTGATGCCAAGTCTTATATAATTATTAACTTGTCAATTCATGTAATTTGTAACTCATATTAGTAAATTAATAAACGTAGTAAGAAAATTAATAACTAGCGATTTTACGTAACAAGTGAATGGTACTTTGATCTTTTTACATTTAAAATTATTTTCATTTTTATCCCCAGGACTGAACTAAAATTTTAAATTTTTTTAGAGCCCACTAGTAATTATATCACATTCCTAGTCCTTATTTGAAATTCTTCCATTCTTTAAACTAAACTCGTTTGTAGTGGCTAAGTTCCTAACAAATAATCCCCACCACATCATGCTTTTTTTTTATGGGGCCAAAATCTTGTACATGATAATATCATAATAGAAGTTGAGAGTCATCTTCATCCAATCCAATATTAACAGTATATTTTTTGTTGTAAAAATTTCATTTAAGATCCATTAACCACGCTTAGCAAAAAAGAAGACTCCTTAAACTTTGAAAATTTATTTCGAACCAAGGGTACTAAAGTGACTTTAAAATACAGAGTAAAATTAGCTCATTATCCCTTATTCCCTTCGAGTTTTTATTGAAGTTATTCATTTCCCTACATGAAATTGTTCGATAATGACAAAAACAACTTTAATGAACAACTTAATAAAAGAAAATGTACAATTCATTTTACCATTATTATAACATTTGAAATTTGAAATAAAATTAAGGTTCAACAATATCACAAACAACTCATGTGGGTCAACAAACAATTTCATGCAGGTCAATGAACAACTTCATATAAAAAAATGAAAAACTCCTTTTATCATGATTAAAGCACTTAGAATAAAATCAAGATTTAGTAACAGAAAAAATAATTTTTATAGGTCAATGCATAATTTTAATAAAGAATTAAAGGGGATGAGGAACAATGAGGTAATTTATTTTTTATTTTTATTTCACTTCACTACCCTTATTATAAAGTAAACTTTTAGAGTTTAAGGGGCTTTGCTTTTCATAAATGTATTGTTATACATGAAATTTTCTTTTTATTTTTTCACACGCATATTTATATTCTCTCTCTCAAACATTAACTACTATACTATGTTGAAAGATTGTGGAATAAAATATATCATTTATATTTTTAGCGTGTATTGATATAAAAGATTCTAAAATAAAATAATTTATTTTTTAATACTTTAATTTGTATATGAAAATAAATTTTAGAATAAAATATGCCACAGAGGAAAAATAATTATAGAATAGAAAAGGTTATTATCAAGATTTTTTCCAACTTAGTGTATGATGTGACTGGCTTTTGCCTTTTTTTTTTTTTTTTACCCGTATGGATTCCACTTTCCACTAAAAAAACATATGATTTTAAATTTTTTTCTGTTTATGTACTTTTAAAATTATTTTTGAATTTTTAAATAAATTCTAAAACTCATATTATTGGGAGAATAAAATATTTTATTTATATTTTTATTGCATTATTCAAATTTTTAATAAACAAAGGAGTAACAAATTATAAATTTAAGTATTTTTGTTTATATAATTTTAAAATTATTTGTTACTATTTTAATAGTGCAAAATTAATCACGGTGTACGTGTTAATACATTTTGTAATAAAATATATTGTTTAAATTTTTTATATATGGTAATGAATTATTAAATAATTTTGTGTAGATATTATCTAGACTATGCTTGAATTAAAAATTACACACCATGAAAGATTATGGAATACAAATGATAAGTTTTTAAATTTTAAATTATATGGGTATATAATAAAAACAAATAACAATCAAGGAATGAGATAGATCACAAAATCAAAATCAATATCAGATGAAAAAAAAAATCAACCAAATCAAAATGCAATCAGAAACAAAGAAAAAAGTAACTGATAATATATTTCAAAATTAAAATCAATACCAAGTATTTTTAAAAATAAAAATAAAAAGTGAATTAAAAAAAGAAGTGCAGAAACTCAAACCAGAATCAGGTGTGAAAAATAGATCAATCAAAATAAAAACAAATAAATCATGGAATAAGTAATAGATTTCAAAAATAAACGAACACCAATTATTTTTATAAAAATAAAAATAAAATATAAATTATGTTATATTGTAATACTGTAATGTTAATTATTAATATTATTATAATGTAGGTACAAAATAAATAATAAATGTATACAACGGTAAAATTACATGTCTATGTTCTCTACCCCAATAAATGATGATTCAAGTTTTAAAAATATCTTAACAATCAATAAATAAATTAATGAAGAAACTGTTTTTCTTCCCAACGTTCAAATCCCTTTACTGCATCTCTCATCTTTCTACCGTAATTAATGACACACGAGAAATATCTTGATTAAGCAATGCAATAGGAGCTAGCAACAAATAAATAAATTATATTTTATATTATGTTGTTTTTTTTTTCCCCCTTCCCTTTTCTGCCAAATTGTTTATGAGCGACTTAAATGAAGAGTGTTTTTTCGCCGAAGCTCAACGGCCAAAAGCCTGATATTAATCGCTTATCCACAGCATCTCTCCTCAGGGTGTTTTCGACGGGATCCTTAATATTGGGTTTTCTTCTTCCCAACTCTCCGATTCACGTCCCAATTCCTCTCTTGGTGTGTGAGTGTTCTTCTCTCCATACGGGAGAGGTTTCCACCACCCTTTGGAGTGGTTTCTTTTTCATCTAGGGCTTGATGGCGGCAAAGGGTTTAAGCGGTTCCTCTCTCCGATGGCCACCATGCGAAACAGGGTGGATGCTTGGCGGAGGAGACGAGGGAAATCGAAGGGGGTCTCGATTGAATGAGAACCAAAAGGGTGCGGCGCTGTTGATGGGCGACGATTGGAAACTGGCTCTGATTCATGCGAAGGGACGAGATGGTAAGATTCCCTGTTTCAAGCTGCCTTATTCTCATTTTCTCATCTCCATTGGATATGAAATTAATTGTACTCTAATATGTAGACACGCATATCAGCAAATCGTTGGTAATATATATATATATATACACACACATATATTGTGCGTGTAAGCTTATGGTACAGTTAGCTCTTAGAGATGTCGTTTCGGATAATAGTTTCGCGAGAGCTTGATCTACCTGCTTATGATACATTTATGGATTGATGCGACCTGTCTTGGTTGCTTGGTGGGGATTTAAGATAGTAATTTGGTAGTCGCGTTTTATTTCTACATGCATTTAAATCTTCCATTTAATATATCAGAAAACAGATTATAACAGGAAAATTGGGTGTTATGGTGATTAGGACAGTGTAAAACTTTCAGTAATCTAAACCGCATCTTGCTTTTTGGTTGAAAATTTGGTATTGTATTGCTTCTTGTGCTAGTTCATGTTAGAAACAAAAATAGATGTTTAAACAAATGCCTTCTGTGATATAAAAATTTCCTTCTTAATTTGATTTTAAAACCATAGGTATTTGCTAACAACAAACATAGCTGTTTAAACAGAACTTCATAGGTTAGGATGGCTTTCTTTACTTCTGAATTCTGACTATGGCTTTCACGATGATTATGCAGTTTTAATTTTCTGACTATGGTTGATAGTTAATTTTCTTATGTTGTTGTTGTTATTGTTATTATTATTATCATTATTATTATTTTTGTTCAAAAATCAAATGCTAATATAATATCAATTCGATTGATGTGCAAATCACTGTAGTGTAGCACCCAGTTGAGTTTTTGACTTCTTAAAGCAGTCTCTAGTCATGAATTCATAACAGCCTAAAGACAATTTCTTATCAATTCACTGGTAGCTTTGTTCAATTATTTACCTGCTTTTTGGTCTTTCTGGTGCGTTCTGCCACTTTGGACACTTTGCTACTAGGGCAAGTTTCCTTCATTCAATGTAAGGGAATTTGGTCAGTCATTAGTTTGTACATGTTCTGGTTGCTTTCTGTTAATCCAACAATTTGACTCTG